TCTATGTAAATTTTTTTGCCATTTTGCATTCGAATTTTTAACTCAATAGTGGCATTCTTCCACTTGACCCTTACCCAAAATACGCAAACCTAATGGGAGTTAAGCTTCCAACATATTTTCTGTTAGGTATGATTTAATCGGGTATACATTTTTGTGGTTAAGTATCTGACTCCAGTAAGATCGTTTGCTGTTTGTAATAGAATTAAACATCATGTCCTTCCTTGTATGTGATGATCGACCGAAATCATAGTAGTGAATAACGGAATTAAAATAAGTTAAATGCGAGAATGTGTTCTGAACATATGTATTTCATACAATCATTCATCTGAACAGGCAATCAGTAAAACGCAGCAAAGAAAGCGAAGCAAACTGAACCGGAGGGCAGGCAAGAAGGCGAGTGAGCCAACTCCATTTAACCAAGCGTCGTTGAATGTTTATATTTAGACAAAAATAAGTAACAGATACGTGATGAATAAGGTAAGCAATGCACGCACGTACAACCATATAAAAATTGTCAGTGTCAATAAGCGAATAAGTGTCAAGGAAAAAATGTAACTTGTGAAGCTAGAATAACCTATGTGTGCTTGACATAGGACATTCCATGGAAATTGGGTCCCAGGGAGATGCTACTGCAGAACACTTGAAAAGCAGTTAAACGACGTCGTTGGACAGACCCTCTATGCTGTCCAGAATTGCATCGTTTATTTTAATCACTCCATCACCCGTGAGTGTGTCAAGGATAGTCTGCCATATTGCGCTAAATCATTGCTTATTTGCGTGTTCAATTGCTTTTTTTACAACAGGTTCCATTCGTTGCACAGAGCAAGCGCTTCCCAAACGCAACTCCGAACATTATACTGTGTATCATTTCAAAGGTGAATTATATATTTTGATTATCTTTCTTCGAATTCTCGACAAGTAGGCAACATTTTTCAACATGTGATATGGTATTAGAGTGTGGCGTTGAGTCGCGGTTGATTATGATCAACACTACAGGAAGACAACGTGCCAGTTAACCGATAAGATCCCCCATAGGCCAAATATCAGAAGGTAGTTGATGGCTGCACTCGAGATATATTTTTTTGGAAATCTGGTGGTATCGAAAAAATACCGAGATCGTGTCAGGTTACAAGTGTGATTACTGAGCGTAACCGAATTCTTGCAAGGTCACAATCAACGGAAGAATGTATGTGTTTTGGTACAGTTAAACAAACAAGTATGGCTAAACAATCCCCGGTACAATCGTTTATAATAATGATTGTTTCCATTACACAAATCACATTCCGTTCATAAAAGTAGGTCAATACAATATAATCACCCTCACATGTTTAATTAGACTAATTTATTTGTTGCTTAACAATTAATATGATTGTACGGGTTGAGTGAGGTTATCTCACTCGTTCAATTATCCATAAATCCTTCTAATATGACTCCATACGTTAATTTAGATAGACAGATATTCCTCTGAATAAACAGCACCTTCAAGATCACTATGAACAATATAAAACTATTCACACAAGTTTCTCAAAACAAATACTCAATCACGGATTTCGTAAAAAGCATTCATATTCAACTTAATTACTGACTACGCGAAAGGATTGGACAACAACTCAAGCTAATGGTCTATATCTTGACGTGGTATTCATATATTAAAGTAAAGCACTTGGTAAGGTTTCTCATCTAAAACTTATATGGGGGCTCTCAACATTTGGCATAACAGGTGTCATACAAGAATGGATAAGAAACTTCCTCTGCAGTCAAACACAGATTGTGAGTGTAAACGGGGTATTGTCTGAATGTAAGACGGTCGGAATTTGAGTATCTCAAGTAATAATCTTATGTTCTCTATCTTCTCTTCTCTTCGTCAATGAATTAGCGCGATTGCTTAAGTCACCGACATTATTGTTTGCAGATGATGTTATAACCTGTAGGACATTAAGTAGTTAGGCTGATCATTTCGACCTCCAAGCTGACATAGACGACTTAATTAGATGGTAGCCATGTTGAGGAGTAAAAATTAATTACAGACATGGCAATAATTACCAGTATACTACAAACAGTTCACCACATCCATGCCTGCACGAATACAAAGACTTGTGGCTAATAATAATTCGTAACTTATAACAATCACACATCGTAACGCAGCAGCCACCAAACTTTTTCGAAAGTTATGATCACTGTGCCAAGCAGCCAAATGATTTGACGAGGAAATGTTTTGAATTTTATATCCCATACATGCGAAACCACACCCAGTTTACTGCACGTAAGCATCCGGTCGATGTCTTGTTAAAGCTAATGGCATATTTGGGAGCATTCAGCGTGTGGAAACACTGTTAGCGAGGGGTATTTTTCCAAACACCTTACGTTGAGCTCTTGAGAAGAATGAACCTTTTCCCCCATCTTATCATAGAACGTGAGGTAAGCTTATGTTAGCATTTCGAATCTTTAAAAACGATTTGAGCGTTGATATGTATTAACCATCAGAACTCTCTAGAAATAGTAATCTTAGAGGTATTAACAAGGCGGTTCAAAAATCCGATCATCTAAACTCAAAATAAAGTTCCGTTTTTTCACCGAATGGTCAGTGACTGAAACGCCTTGCTCAAAAACGTTCTATGTCTCCCATCAGTGAACATTTTCAAGAAGACTCTAGACCTTCTAAGGACTTCAAGCTGCGAGGTTTAACACAGCTTCACTGACGAAATATCCTTACCACTGAAGACTGAATATCAATAAATGATTGTACTTGTTAATCGATCTAATCTATACCACCATTGCAAATCTGGAAGCACTGAACGGTTGTTTCTTCTTAGTATTGCATTTATCATCAGTTCACGAGCGGACAGAACCCGAAAAATCTTTGGACTCGCGCACAAAGCCTTACCTCTGGACTACAGAGGCGTCCTATAATAGGACGAAACGGTCGTCCAGTGCTTCCAGCTTTTCAACAATGTTCTAGCTTAACTTCGTTCATAAGTTCAATTACTAAAATAAATACAATCGCCATAAATTTACATTCTGATGCACTTAAATATGAATAGTATTAAAAATGTCAATTAGTATGAAATAAACGAATGATTTGCAAACTCCATTTAATCATTTAATCGGATTAACAAATAATTGATCGGCAAATAACTCCTATTATTGATGTCCCATTAAGTTGCTCTGAAGTACAACTGTAAGGGAAATCCCTTGATCAACGAAACATTTGGTAATTTGATAGCGCCTACCCAAATGTTACGTGCCGTTTGGTCTGGGATAACACTGATTAATTTGATGATCTATCAATCACCATTCGATCAGCACATATGTCTATTATCGAACATCAATCAATGCAAGCATCACTGCCATACAGCTACTACGTAAACGAGAAAACGATGTAATTTGAGTTCACTCATACATATTTCTGAATACATATGAACGGCGGATTTGTAAACAATAAACATTCCAAAATGTTCTGTAAATTCCATTTAATCATTTAATCGGATTATCTAATCATTGATCAACAAACATTATAGATCTTGTTACATTGAGACGTTTGGTGGTTTCTTCGTATAAAACTGTAGTTTATGTCGGTACATTATGGTTCATAACCTACATTTAATCTCATACAACGGTTTTTCATTGGTTTATCGTTCAGTTCATTTGTATAAATTGTTCACTCCTCCAAATCATATCTCTAACAGTAATAGGACAGTTGCAGTAAGTTGATCTGTAATATTTTCATAAGGAATTGTAATCTGTATGGATCAATGATTACAATGAAATAGATTACGGAACTGCATATAATGGGTAAATTGTACGAATTGATGATTGTCGGACAGGTGTACTATTGCACTACTAATGAGAAGCAAAATGAAATAATGTAAGATTTCAAGATTCATTGACAACTTTACGAAATGTTCATCCAAGTTAATCATGAGACACAAACTTGACAGTGACTGTTCGTCTCCCCAAAGAAATTTATATCTAATAGTTGAATTCATGAGTCAATTAAATGTAGACCGCCATGGAATACCTGGAAGTACTGGATGGCTGTTTCGTCCTAATAGGGGACTCCTAAGTCAGACCACAATTCTAGTGTAGATCATACACAGTCCACTGATTATGATCACTCTATACATATGTATAAATGAGAAAATATCAAAGTGACAGCGAGTGAACATAGATGAATTTGGTGCTAGGAAATAGAGAACAGTTTTGTGCCGATATTCAGCATTAAGAACATCAAATTAACATAATCAAGTGTTGTATTAAATTAAGATAGTTTTGTACAGAAATGATTTAATATTTGCTTATTTTCATAAAAATGTCAGTCATAGTGTGATGCTTTCTACTATTAATATCAACTGTAGGAATGATATCCCACACGTGCAAATTGTATATGGCTGTAGTGATTTTATGCACATTAAGCATAATGAAAATTGAATCAGCCACATTTGTAGTACCAATTGAGTTTTACGAGACAGGTATGTGTATTATTTATTCATTATTAATATACTTATCATTATTATTGCCATTGTTAGTGGTAGTAGTAGTGCGGTATGCACGGACACAAATTATTAGTAGATAGTAGGAATTGGAAGTAGGATACATACCATTTAAACAGTCAAGTAAAAAGAAGAGAATAAAACTGAAGAGCAGTCGCAATGATAACAGGATAGGAAGAATAATGAAGTGTGAAAACGCCAATTGAAGAAATATATGCAAGTGATGTATTAAGTGTAAGATTTTCATATTTCACAAAGGCATTGTGTGATTCTGAATAAAACGATAAACTGGTTTTCCTCAATAAATCTCCATCAATTACAGTTGTAGTAGTAGTAGTAGTAATAATAATAATAATAATAATAATAATAATAATAATAATAATAATAATAATAATAATGATAATAATACAGAATTGAAGTAGATTTGTTATATGATTCAGAATTCAATCAACATGTCTTACTTTGTAGCCTCACTAATCATAGTTTACTGCTTTTTAAACTTTAGGAGAAATGTATGTTAACGTAGACGGAGTGGATATTTCACTCGACCATAATGGTGTAGTGAAAATGGTGAAAGGCGACTGTACTACAACAATTTCGTTAGTACCACCAAGTGAAGAAGAAATAGCAACTCGAAATGGATATCGTGACGGTACTTAGTAAGTTCTTAAATGTGAGAAAGATAATCTATGGAAATGAGTGATAAATGCATTTATACCGCATATACGATAAAGTAGTCATATCAAAGAACGAAATAGAAACTATTCTGACAATGTAAATTAGTTAAATGTACATGAGAGCGCATTCTATTTTTCTAACTACCTATTTGTATATACATTTCAAGGAAATAACTGATAATTCTACTGATTCTCATGAAAGGTAATTTCTCCATGACCCATAATGAACTACATGTGACACAGGAAATGATTCTAAATAAAATGGAATTTAGTAGAGAAATACTTTAATGTGGCTACCTAAGTATCATTGTAATGAGAAATTAATAATTACGACTAATCGGAAATCATCGATTCATCAACCATAACGAGTAATGAATGGTTGAAAATGATTGATCAATGAGTACTGACCATGTCGTAATGTCACTTACTCAGACTGCATCACTCTATTCGCATCCATTTATCACACAAGGATTTGCGAAAAGATAGATAGTTCTTACACTAATAATAAAGACATCCATAGATGTGTAAACGCTTTTAAAATAACGTAACCGTCGGGAAGTGGTAAAATTACAAGTAACACAAGAGAGAGACTTGAAAAATGTCTGCCTGATGTAGTTGAGAAACGTATAGACTTTTTTCGAACGCAGCAGTCGAGAGTGGATGTGGACACCATGGAAATGTGAATGAGTGGCAGAGCACTTCTGCACACTAAGACTGAGATTGAAAAGATGTACTATAAAAGCCTCGGTTGTATTTAAATGTATGAGATCATTCGAAAACTACTCTGTTTACAAAACAATTTAATACTCGATTGCTAGTAACATAACTTGATTTCTTCGCACTTGTCAAACATTTTAGCCTATGTAGACCACTGCAATCATCGCAATCCCAGGAGGCAATTAATCAAGACTGAATAAGTACAACACGAATGTAGAAATCATTTATTCTATACAACGGAAATGTTGGCTCTTGATTATCTCATTTTCGAATGTGTTTGATTTTTTGTTACACTCATTAGAATAAATTATAATTGTCAGCATCACTTTTCGTTCTATTCGTTTGTTTACTGATAATCACATTTTACTGAAGAACACGTGGTATACATATTGCATAAGTAACCAGCTACCATGTCGAACGACAATTCATTTAATCGTTAATTTAACAGCACATTGCAAATCAGTTTTAGTTTGTACATTTAGTACAACTTATCCAACTAACCTTTGACAATTTATGTTGAATCCCTGCAATATATCTTATTCTCGAAGTAACAATACCCAAAGTTTCTAATAATTTACCAAAATCTGGTTAACATTATATGACTAAATTTCTGTCTATGAGTATAGCTAAAGTTAAAAAATTACAGATACAATATAAATGTTATATTTAACACTAAAGTTATAGTAGTTGTCATAAAATGAATGTTGCTTGTAGGTTGGTATCTGAGATAACTACCACAAGTGAGTTCACTTGATTAACAAAGATTCCTCTACACGTGATTGCATCAACGGCGTATTATTTATTAACGATCAGTGCTAACACTCCAACGTAGTATGAGAGCGCCCTGAAGGATGTTATAACACTATGAAAATGTTCAATCAGAAGCTATGATCAATAAAACAGAAGAACAGATGGCGGATATAGCGTTTATATTTTAGCAACTGCGGTACCGTATGTATATATTCAAGCAGGTATATACGTTTCTTTACCACTGATACGGCCTTTGAGTTCAGATAATCAATGACTTCTGTTATGTTGTACATCAACACTAAGCTTCGAACAAATGTTAGCATTTTGCTTGATAAATTTGCATTGAACTGACAGTTGTAGGTTAGTTGAATGCCAGATAGCCATGTCAAACTGTTAAATGCATTCAGATTGATTTGAAAATATAAATTACTAAAAGACTAACATTTGTTTATACGGATTAATATTCAATGGAACACAAACTATCAGTTTCATGGTCATATATTTGATGAGTATTATGCCAGTTCAACAAGATGTTCATAAATGTGTATGATATAGCGGAATAATATAAGCCTGATACATGATCTTATCGATCGTGAACGCGTTAGCATAATTTAACATCACTAGAAAATTTCACTTAACTGGATAATTCTAGTTTGGTTTCTGATAAATCATTTAAGAACTCATACTGACTAGCTAAATGCTCATACACTTTACTTGTGATATTTTCCCAACTTTTAACCGTGTGGGATCATAGTGTTGTAGGTTTTTCATTGGAACTGCGGAAATGATCTCCCGGAGTTATTGATTATTATGCATCTCGTGACATTTTTAACAGAATTACGTATAAATTGTCGGCATTCACAGTATGAGATTTCATCTGTCTGAAGTCGATTGTCTCTGCCATATGTGAATCTCTCATATTCATTCCTTGGTAGTTTCTTGAGTGTACATAGCCAAAACGAAAGATAGTCTATTCTCTGTTCATTTTTGGTGATATCACCTTTAAATTCAGCATGTCATCCAAATGGGGTCAATGACATGAGGATTTAATACGAAACACTTTTCACTTCTAGAATGGCGAAGTTTCTCTTAACACTCTCCCGTCTACTAAAATATCATTACAAAATATAACACATTTAAGATCATCAATTGCTTTATTCTTTACTTCTTGGTTTCGATCGACGTTGCTACCTTGACGTGGTGGTCGCGCTTGCCTATCTTGATTAAGCAACCAAGCTCTATTGACTGGAACAAACATGTCAGGCAGGTCAGTTGAAGAGCGGTAAGACTAACGGCAGTAAACCCAAGTTCGGATTGCAAAGTCCTACCTCTGGCTGTACAGAGGTGTGGCGGCAGTAAGGTGCTCCCTTCAGAAAACCATCATGACAGCGATGCTGCCTTCCCACAAGGGAGGGTGGGATTAGAAAATTTCGATTCTAAGAATGCACATCTCGCCTTATCTTACGGATATCCGTCTCCAGCGGTAAGGTCACAACAATAGGGAGGCAACAAAAAAATGACTCACAAAAGGTCGTGTGTGACCGACTCCAAGCATTTGTCCCATAGGCACTGCGGTAACGCTCTTAAACCACTAAGACAACTCCTAATACAATTCGCTCTTCAGATTCCTCCTTAAAAAACTATTCCACGTTGTGGGCAGTCGGAAGGTGATAACTGCCCTCATACTTCTAACTGCACTCAACACTATTGTATTCATAGTCAACCTCTCTCTTTATTTCTTAATATTCCTTCTACATCGAATTTCAACTCTAAAATTCCTCCTTCGGCTTCCTCCTCAAGTATCACACTAGCCAACGATTCTAGTGTGCAGAGCACTGTCTCAGGTCTACTGAAACCTCGCTCCATTCTACAAATTAGAGCCTTCATTGTACGTACCCTATGTCAAATCCGTCAGCAGGCTTGCTTGACTTGAACCCTAGGATCTCGTGCCATTGATGTATGCCGTGTCGCGGAAGCATGCATACAGGATTCTCGTGTGTTTATTTACTTGACTTTACTTCACCAGAACGGGTAGCCGAGGAGATGCACCATCCATGTATCGGAAGACCCGATGTCTAGGTCTCCTGGACTGGCAGATGTAGGTATAGCTGTAATCACGAGGGTGGGACAAGTATTGTTAGAGTGGATCTCCGTTAACAGCCTTCTATGTGCTGTTCGACCAAACGGCTCAGTATGAACTCGGAAAGATAGGGACACACGTCGTTGCCTTTTTGTTGTTTCCGCCTACGCTCCCACTGGATACAGCCCGGACGAAGCAAAAGATGGCTTTTACAGAAGGTCCTCTGAATTTCTTCATGTAGCTAAACGCTCAGACTGAGGAGTCCGATATTAGGACTAAACGGCCGTACAGTAATCAATATTATTCCAGATCATATGCTTTATAGTGTATATGCTAACGTTGTGGTGTGAACTACTTATATTGATATAAGTAGTATATAACGCGCGTTAAAGGAACGTAATGTCTGGCAGCGGGAGATGGCGAAGATCAAGAAAGGTAGGGCGAGAACACATTTGAATTTGTAAGAAAATGCATGAACAATGGAATGGGAGACAATGGATTGGTGTTTGCAACAGAAACAGTCAAGTTTGGTTTGATGCATGAATATTTTGCAAATTGACGATTTAATATATGGTATTCAAATATTGTTGAAATAGACGGTAATTGTTGTGCTAAATACATCTGTTTGTCCCCTCTCGTGTTCTTGTTCACTACAACGTCTCTGACTGTGAAGCTGTGTGACACGGGGTCGAATCCGTCATGGAGGAACAATCCCCTCAAGATTACAGTTGCATCTTACTGGGATATCAACAGTCACAGGTGAACAATGATATCCGTGGTATATCATGTATTTTAACTGTCAATTTATTTTCTTTATCCATAGTGAAGACTGTTCGTCTAGGTGGCTTAAAACTAAGAGGTAGTGTATTTAAACACTTGTTTGTCATTAAAGACATTTCAACGAGTGATGATTCCTCTACAATAATATCGTTTACTCAAACTGTTCAACCATAATAATTGTTAACGAACAAATATAATAGTCTGTGTGAGGGTGATTACATTATATCACGTGCTAGAGAAATTCGCTTAACTGTTTAGAATTCGAAGAAAGACAATAAAGTTTGATGTCATTCGCCTTTAGAAAGACACACAAAATAATATTCGGAGATGTGTTTGGAAAGCACTCGCTTTATACAGCTAATGGAACCTGTTCTGCAAAAGCAACTGAATACACAAATGAGTATTGATTTAGCTCAATGCGGCAGATTATCCTCGACACGCTCATGAGTGATGGGAAGATTAGAATAAACGATGCAAGTCCGAACAACATAGAGAGTTCATTCAATGACATCTTTCGACTGCTTTCAAAATGTTCTGCAGTGGCACCTTCCTGGAACTCAATGTCCATGGATGTTTTCTGGAACTTTGAGAGGTCTTCCAGTTTGTAGTTTAGATTTAATGTTTCTGTCAAAAAACCAAGTGTAATAGTCACGTTAGACGAATATTTGTTGGGGCTTATATTTTCCTCCATCAATCGTGCCTTCAAAACAGAATCGCATAACCGTTGATGACGTGTCAATGTATCTGAAGTATCTTGTGTAGGCAGCCGTTTGTAAATATCTGTACCCCTTTTGATGGTAGCTGAACTTGTTCTTGACGCTTCTGATCCCTAAAATAAGATTGTTATGACGTTTGGATCAAAACTCATAACTCTGGTGTTGATTGACATTTACTGTTATTATTATTATTCACCAGCAGGTTGTTGGTTGGCAAAACTTATGAACATGTTACTTTGCTTGGTTTCAAGTTGTAGAAGTGCTGTCTTTGCCTCACCAGTCTTGCCTTAATTTCTGCATCAGATCCTTCTTGTTTACCGATCATACTGCTCAGGCACATGAAATTCTACAACTCTTCCAGGGATTCTTTACTGAGTGCGATTTGTTTGATGCCTGTAATGTTGTTTTCAAGAATCTTGGTTTTCCTCTCGTGTATGTTGAGGTCTACTGCTGTGGAGGCTGCTTTCACCTCAACTGTCTCTATCCGCATTCGCTGGTGTGTATGAAATTTAAGCTAGGTCATCTACGAAAACCAAATTACATTGGTGCATCTAAACGGTGAATTGAATTCCGAGCTTCATGTAAGACGTGGAGGTTCTCGTTATTCAGTACCTATGGTGCACCTGAATCAATACTCAAAATCATACGAAGTTCTAACGATAAACTGTACTAACTGTTTGTGAATGGAGGGCAGCACATAGATCCATTCTAAATGAAGACCGGTATCAAGCAAATTAATTTGCTCCAGCTCCTTCTCTTTCCTCTGACGGTTAACTGGACTTGCCTGGATGAACATTCGAAGGACAGAAAATTAGTCATGTTTGAGTCAACAGGCCATTCCATTTCCCTAATGAATACTTCGTTTGAGTA